CGCGAGATTCGAACCCATGATCTATCAGTCTCGCGTCAGGCGCTTAACCACCTAGACCACTGAGCCGGCATCCAATGGTGTTAATGTCTAACCTAAACCAATCCACGAAATGGCGCGACCATCTTCCATTGTACTGAGGTAGACACCTGTATCTACCCGACACGGATTAGCTCTAACATACAGTAATATTCATATGCATATACGAAATTATTAAACCAATCAAGGCAGTATATGAGTCAATGGTAACAGTCGAATAGATTACATAACTGAACATGATATTTGAAAGGCACAAATTGGTTGTGTGATGACAGGTGTACTAGTTGTGATAAAGGCTTGAATTAATATTACGTAATGGGAAATAGATCAATGATTAGAAAAAATATAGACATTGAACTAGCATTCATAAATACACAAGGGGGGGTTGAATTTTCGTATAGCTAAGCCTTCAATAAACCTTAGTATATGCACTTTTACACTTTTGTTAAGACCAATCTTATGACCTAATAAATAAGAACTTTCGTCTAAATTTGAACGAATAGTTTCACAATATTTGGGCGCCGAGTTAATTTGAGACATTAAAAAGAAGAATATATTTGTAAAATCTCAGCGAATGAATTTTAAGTAAATCCAACGTTTCGCCTGGCAATCTGGTCCAAGCTTTTTCAAGGAAAATATAATCAAACAACAAAATTATCGAATATAAATAGGTACAAGATTCTTCGGTTTACTGTATACTGAATAAGTCATCCAATCGACGTGAAGGATTTCTTTATAAATAGGTATTTGTATTAATGTGTAAGAGACATGTTTATATGAAAAATAATAAAGGTCAAACAAATAAAATAAAAGTTCATTTGAAAATAATCAAGGGGAGAGAAAGAATAAGAAATTGTCATTTTATCCTAGGCCATAGAATGACTTAAGGATTACCAAGGTTAATTCAAGGTTATGACAATTGTTTTGTATGTGTTATGGGATCAAAACGTGTTAAGATAACAGAATGTGTTTATACGCAAGTGATATGTTTCATTCAACTTAATATTGACTACGGTCTGTGTATATTAAGAAAACAAATCATTTTATGTATGAAATGAATCAAAATGCTACAGCCTGCATTAAATGAATGCTAATAAATATTTTAGTTCAAAAGGAGAAAATTATTTTTCGTTTAACTATTGACATGAATAATTTTAGAACATCATTTGAACTAATAACAGTTATCACATGTGTTTAAACTTATGAATAAATCACTTCAGTAGGACAATGTTGTGGTGTATATTATTTATGTCAACAGACATAGCGTGTGATGGTCTGCTGGTCTGTTATCAACCTCTCATCTATCCTCTTATTGACATCAAACTCAGCCGATCAATAATTTGCTAATGGTGTACACATTCATATAAATACGAAAAACACAATGGTCTAATTCATAAACACGTCTGATTGCTAACACGTGGCCATTTGAGTTGACCCGATAATGATAAAATCAATTGTAGATTAACCTATGTTGACGTTCCCTATTTCTCAAATTGAAATAAGTTTAACCGAATGTGGCGTGCTATGCACTACAATATATGTGAATTAACAAGGACGATTTTAATTATGATCATGAACCGATCAAGATTTAACAACCATTGAAAACATGAAAGCATTGGACGGTCGATTCGGCCTAGTATAACACTTCAGAAGCGCGCATTCACAATCCCGCACACGGGATCCGAACTCAGGACCTTCGGTTAGGCGTGCGAACGCTTAACATCTGGATCACGGAGCTAGCATTCAACTGTGTTATTGTCTAACTTCAAACAATCCACGATATTTTGTGACCACCGTCCACACCCGACACAGCTGAACTCGACTGGTCATTGCTTCTCACTAGAACTCTCGAAGCTAGTCACTATTGAGCATATAAGAGTGTCAATACATCTTAATTGATACACAAAAGTCTCCAAAACACTGCTAATAAGAACGCTTCTAGTCGAGGTCAGAACTAAGTAATCCAGAGACCGAAAGCGTAGGCGAGGAAGGAGTAGATTCCAGGATAAAATGTTGCAAGTCCTGAGATTTTGTCACTGAAATTATTACACATAAAATACATCTTTTGTGGTACGGTTGTGATGTGTTGTAACGACAGCTGGAAACAATTATTAAGAGATAACTGTGAAACATCTACAGGCAACAGATGACCATGTACATCAGATTAGGCTTGAGTACAATTAGCAAAGTAAACACATCCTTCCGATACTGATGAATGGCTCGATTTAGCAAATCAATGTGTGTGTTATTTCAGTCACGATTGGATTTGGAGAATATCCAGTAAACGATTAAGTTGCTGATACGTAAGAGAAGATTTGAAAAAGTGTACGAAATTGAGTGGTGATATTGAGAGTGGAAAGTAAAATGTCACTGAGCCCTAGACAAATCATCCGGCTGTTGCATCACTGAATATCGAACAGATCATCGATCCTGTCCAGCACAAGGAAAACCAACGCGCATCAGTTAATCGTATACCATGAGCTGGCTCATGCAGCGGCGATCTCGCTTTCTTATCTGTACACATTCTTACTCATACATATTCATAATAACGTCCTTTGTGTTATAAGGTCTTCAAAACAGCCATAGTAATTTGATACATCGTGGGGGTAATCCACGTTTGATGCTCTCCGCGAGGTGTGATTTCCAAGTTAGCTGGTTCGTCAAGCAATTTCCATCGAACTCGAGCGGACCTCAAATCATTCGAGATAGATCATCTACGTTGGTGATCTACAATGTTCAAAGGCTGATCGACACAACCTAGTAGTCAATGTTGGATCGTCAAATCACTGTTCAATCGATGGTCAAATGCAACTTCATTCTTTGATACGGTGATAGTCTGCACTAATGGTGACTTGTTTTCCATTCGTCACAAGGTGAAATCTGTCTGACAACACACAGTAGTTCGCACACCATACGATGCACATCACAATTCGTCGTTTGGTGAATCACTAGTTTACGATGGCCACAATAATGAGATAATGTTACTGTTTGTTCTGTATCGAGTTGCATATTCTCTATCGCTCCCTCATTTCAATCTGTCATTACGGGACGAGTGAAATCGAGTTTGTGACTTTCTTTGAATTCATTTGGTTACCATAATATTTAATACAGGGTATTAGAAAAATGAAGGCACTGAATGCGTGTCCATAGAATCTTACATAAGTGAATATCATCAATACAACTCCGACTGAGAAACCAGCAAAATCATACTGCGAAATAATGACTTGCATGTAAAGTTAAACAGGTCATCCAGAAGTGGTCTCTTGCAACCAAGTGAAAGTGTGTTTCTGCAGATTGCTTGATCAACTGACTAGGTTGGTGTGATGAGTGTGATCAAGTGACAGCTATTCACAGAAACTCAACTGTTGACTCAATGCTCCCAGCGAAACAGACATCAAGATGCAAAATAACTCGTTAACAACATTAAATCTCATCTCACAGTAAAACACACTCTCATATAGGAAATAATTGACACAAATTAGAAATGATTAAAATTCAACATCAGAAAGTTGATGAGTGATGATTTTAAATTTTGTCGATCACTCACCGACAAATAGATTGGACATGTAACCATCAGTCTCACTTGTTGTGAATTGAAATGCAATAAACCACTGACTATGTTACGCCTAAGTTTTCGTATATTTCTCAACACCAATATTGATAGTTTCAGGAAATCAATGGAAATTCGAAGACTCAACCAGTCACCTAACAACGATCAACTGACAATGGTTAACAATGTTGTTCTAATGAAACAACAAAAGCAACACTACAATCACATGACGTCATTCCGTCGTGATCAATATACGTAGTTTGTTTTAACTGGAATGCAAAACATTACAAAATCATCACATAATATGACGTTTGATTTACATCACTGTCAATAACATATGCTCGTCTAACTATTGTGACCAACAACCTGACTTACAATAACAGTGAATAATGCTTGGGTTTCTAATAATATTCTTACTATTTTTGTCAGTCAAATTTTTGTTAATGCACGTCGAAATAATCGCTCACATTTTATTTATTTATTTGAACACATAAACACTGGTACAATGGGGCACCAGATACATATGCGCCACACAAATCAAATGAGATTTGTGTGAGGGCTGTGATACTGCCCATGTGACCAAACCGAAGTAGATCGCTCATGTAATCAGTAATATACACTGTTCAGCAGTTACACATTGTCCTATTCTATTCAGTTTGCACGCAAAGTGAGGCGACTGACTTGAAGGATTGGAAGCGAAGCGTTGTAGATCGGAACACATTTCCGCCTACTTCATCTCAAACAGCAACACGTTAATGCTAATTGAACTTACATTGAAGGTATGATGCTCAGTCACACACAAAGTCGAATTGGTGACTTCAAACGTATCTCCTGTTCATCGACATCTTCAGTGTCATTTATTTCTAATAAAGCTTAACAACGGTTTCATTCACCACTACAGACGTCAACACAACGATATTCACGGATAATAAAACAACAACATGTTCTCTCACAATTTCAATATCAACAAATTAGACCGTCAGTTCCAACACCGTTTCACATAGTCCTGTGTTAGTGCAGTCAGTTGATGTTTACACCACACAAGCCGCCTCCTCGTCATACGTGGAACATGAAAACTCGTCACCTGAATTCGGATCAAACGAGCCACCAACATCATTGCATTAATTAACTTGACAAAGTGAAATCACACACAATCGTGTCATTCTGACAATACAACCACATCATAGTATTCGCAATCTCTTCGACCGGTCCGACACACACACACATTATTAAAATGAAGTACACTGTAGTTCACAGTGAACACTCAAATGAACATAAGAATATATCAGAATGAATGGAAGGTGTTATTTATATGAAAATTTATTTAAAACTTTACAAATTCATGTGTGGAACAGCACACAGATATCTAGTCACGCGACATGAATATAGTGATCAATGAAAAATGATGCAAAGTCTATTTTTTATTAACTTTGATCCCATGATCACCACGTTTCCAGTTCACTGGACACACTTCACCATGCTTCTCCACAAATTGGAACGCGTCCAGTAGTCGTAATGTTTCATCCACAGATCGTCCAACTGGCTTGTCATTGATCGTGATTTGACGTAGAATTCCCTTCGGATCAATGATGAATAAACCTCTAAAAAGGAAGGCATAGTGAGGGAGATGATAAGTAGAAGTACAGATAAACTCGTGTCTATGTGCAAGTCGATTACCAGTACTCTCAATGCAATAGGTAGTTCAGTCGAGTGTTGAGATTCGGTTGTCTTTATGAGCACTGGGTTCTACTGGTCAGAAATTTCGTGGAGAACCGCAGCTTCTGTGATGCCTCAAATACAATTTGTGCTGTGTTCAATCTAATAACACATTGATTGATTTTCTATTCAAGAATACGGATCGAATGAGAATTTGGTTCAGCAAACATTTAACTGTCAACCGGTGAACTTTATGTCAGAACGCAGTCAAAAGTAGAACAGTGGAACGTGTCAGAGAACTTAATATATCGTTGACTACACACAGGTCAAGACACTGAGAAACCAGTACAATACAAAACTGAAACATTGTTTCAAGAAGATTCTTGCATACTCGCACAATTATTTCAATCTCTTACTCCAAACTGGAAACTGAACACGATTCGTTCCACACGTCTATCAGTCTGATTCTCAACACAGATTATCGAAATTGCAGCAAATCTCAGACAACAAATCACACGAATAAAAACACACCACTCACCTGAATGCATTGCCATCCTCCTCATCTAATACACCATATGCTCTGGAGATCTCCTGTGTGCGGTCGGCCAACAGAGGAATTTTCATCTGACCCAATCCACCCGATTTACGATCCAAATTGTTCCATGCAAGATGGCTGTATTGAGAATCTGTAGAACAGGCGATCACTTGACAATTTCGACTGTTGAACTCCTCCACCTGGTCACTGAACGCGATGATTTCAGTGGGACACACGAACGTGCTGTGAAAGAATTATGAGGAGGAGAGTCACTGGGATGATGAAACTACATGCAATTCCACGCATTCACATTAGGCATATTAGTCGAGCAGTGAGCAACTTGACTATGCAATTCGATATGTATCAAGATAGCATGTCAGCCAACCAGTCAGTCAGTTAGTCACTCCGATAGTTAGCCACACAAGTGTCAGTTCAACCATATTGAATTAATCCTCATCATAATTATCAAGCGAACGATAAATCTGTGCATCATCGGTGAACAGAATTTCACACTGCTGTCTAACTATTCGTTGCAGCATAATACTGCATTTTACGAAATATGGTTACACGCATTTTCTAGGACGTCTGAAGGAGGCAATTACTGAAGTATTCGATACAGTGATATGATCAACATCGACTGTCAGAATCTTGTTGGCATGAATAAACTGAAGTCAAAATGGAGATTACCAGTGTGCTTCGTGAACAATTTCCTAGACATTTCATCTCAATCCACAATGAGAATCAGTATAAATGGACTCGTCACGCGGTGTTCACTATTACCACTCAGATAAGTGGAGCCGAATGAATGATTGGTCACAACACGGTTCAAGTATTCCCGATGAGTGAACCCACATAGATGGAACCATATAAGAACAGATATTAGAATTCGGTGAACACGACTTAATCATTCATTCCAGATATCCGCATACATTGCAAAGTCGAATCAAAACAAATAAACTCCAATAAGAATTCGCGTTTATCACACTCGAAAATGTCGTCAGAAACCAGAGCATCAACATATCGTCTGACCTCTACAAGAAATTACCTTACACTATCTAACAACTCTAATAAGTCTCAAATTTCATACACACATCCAACGCATAACTAGGACAGACGGTTACAACAAATACACATTCATTCAACCAGTAGAACAAGTTCGGCCAATCAGAAGACGTAATCGGTTAGAATAGAGTGGGTGAATCAATATATGCAGTCAGACACTATGCAATAACTACACAACAAATATGCACAATTACTACTTACAAATCAGCTGGATAGAAGAATAATACAACATATTTTCCTCGATAATCCTTCAAACTGATCTCTTTGAATTCACCATTAACCACAGCATTTCCTTTGAATTCTGGAGCAGGTTTATTGGGCAACAATACCATGATCAGTGATTACCAAGCTGACAGTGATTCGAATGTCTCTCAAATCAGGTTTTCATGCTTATATACAATTCGAGCAACACAATAACCTTGAACATAATTGGTTCTAATTTTCACTGTCAGTTCATTGGGTTGATACAATTGAATTAAATATCAATCACATGACAGCATATTTTTTCATATCTCTTGTAACACACGTAGCCCCTGGTTGATCAGCTTACATTAGAATCAACAATTCCAAACACACTATGCTTGCATACACGTGACAAATGGATTTCATATTCAGTGATTATGACGCAACGGGTGCATCATATTTTTGAACTGAAACACAATTAAATGATTGTGTCACAAAGTGTGAGTGCAATCATATTTTGCCTGATTAAAGGTCAATTGCAAAACGTTAACATAGAAAAGAACCAAATGAGAATGACACGTGGTTGAGAAATGGAGAAGAAATATTGACAATTCATTCAGTGGTTTGACAACTCACTACTCACAATCTATTGAATGTGTATCACAAGGCTTCGATCAATTGATGCCACTTCCACACTTCTCTCAGTCAACATCAAACACATTCGAAATACAGCTTCTTAGAGTATTCCACAAACCAGATATTCACAAGTAGTCTCAAATCAGCTCTCGATGTGGTTGCAACGATCACCGCATAGTTGCATCAATCACAAACAAATAAACTATTTCAACCCACTAGGTTAGAAACGAAAACCGGATTAGAGAGACGTGTAGAGTAAAAATGATGGAGTGAGGACAATAAAAAAATATTCGTAACATCATAGTTAACACTGTAAAATTTAAGAAGTAAATTACTTGATAGGAATTCCGTATATCTGTACAACACAAATATACGTGACCATATATCGCCTTAAACCAAACACATTCTCTGTGATTCGGTTTAGTTAGATTTTCACGTGAGATTCCGTCAAAGACATTTTCATTGTCGATTCCGATAAACAATTCGGGAAATCCATGTGGATTGTCCGATTGGTTTGGTTGTTTGTTTACTTGTCCGCCTGATTGTTCGCTTCTTTGTTTGTTTGTTTGCCTGTTTGCTTGCTTGATTGATTGTCGACTGACGATTGATGACTTCCTACCACTTTTAAACTGTACACAGCTCACACTGATTTCGCAACCATCAACAAATCCAATGGTCATACAAAATACACAGTCTCGTTATCGATTTTCAGTTTCACACGGTCTGGTGAAACGTAGATCACTCGTATGCGAGTGACTAGACGATGTGAGGAGATTTCATACTGATTCATCTTCAGAGTCACAGCGGCATAACGTATCTCCAACATACTACACGAGGAAACATTGATTTTCAACTCGCTTCCACACGCTCAACCAACCGGTTTCTAGAGCTCTTCGTTCCTTCAATTCGTCCATTTCCTGACACACACACACACACATAAATATGATTGAGAGGAAATCGTTCCACTCGTCCATTCGACATCAAGTGCCTACATAAACTAAATTCCTGTACAATTTGAAGCTTCCGTTCCACAGTTTTAGTGCCGATGAAACCAATCATGTCGAGTTGCTAGAGCAAACACTCACATCAACTAGCATGAATAGATCAGTGTCACGAACCTGTCATTCATCACATCTCATGACAGGTAGATCAAGCTGTTTGTTGTCACTAAGCTGTTTGTTGTCCACAACGTAATGAAGGACGGCCACACGATTTCGGCCAAAACAAATAAGACAAGAACAAATACAATTTAACCAATGTGCCATCCATAATTCAACACTGAAAATTGTCACCACCATTTCAACAAACAGTATTGTCGTAGATCAATGAATTGACTTTATTATTATTTCAAATAAGATATTTCAATGTGACGGTCGTTCAACATCAAATACAATACACGACTTCCCCTTATCCATATAACCATCATCATATGTGCATTTGATCACATGATAAATGCACTTAACCAGAATGCAAAATTATTATTATTATTATTATTATTATTATTATTATTATTATTATTATTATTATTATTATTATTATTATTGTGAAGAAGCAAATGAAAACAAACAACACACACCCAGTTATATCAACTAGCCACAAATAAATTGCAATTAATCCAATCACACCATCATCATCGTCAACGAAAACAACGACCACTATTGATAAGAATATTACGAAAGTGTTGATTATGAAAATCATAAATAATCACAAATACATCTACATTAAACACGAATACAATTCGACAGTTCAATAGATTTCCAATCGATGAGAAAACTTTACATTTTCTGTCGGTTAGTGTGCAAATAATATCACAGTATTTGTTCATTTGAATAAACGTTTGTGTTTTCAACTAGAAGATTTGGACTTTGCAGGTGAGCTAATCCCTCTGTCCCATGCACACGAATAAATGCAGATGAAGATAACTAGTGTAGCAACAGCCTCTATATTAGTGGGCCTCAAGATACACAAGCAAAAATGCAACATTCTCAAATAAAACACCGAGAACACCAACCCAGGCACATTTGATGGAGATGCTCTGGAAGATGTTCCAATATTACACGCAGCTGGGAAGCATCATCGATGAACAAGGAGGATCCGATGCAGACTCAAGTGCGAAGAATGGCAAAACAAGAGCTGCATCCATACAATTGAAGAATATATGGAACTCAAAACAACTGTCAACCAATATCTATGTCGCAGTCTTCAATACGAATGTCAAGACAGTTAGTTTTAATGTACGGAGCTGAAACATGGACAACCACTTAAACCATCATCAAAGAGATACACGTATTTATAAACAGTTGTCTACGCAAGATACGGGATGTCCGTTGACCTGATACCATCAGCAACAGCCCATTGTGGGAGAGAACAAATCAGCTTCCAGCTGAGCAGGAAATCAGGAAAAGCCGTTGCAAGTGGATAGGACACACATTGAACAAATCATCAAACTGCATCACGAGGCAAACCCTAACACAGAGTCATGAAGGGAGATTGAGAATAGGATGGCCGAAAAGCACACTATGCCGAGAATTGGAAGCAGATATGAAAAGCTCAAACAGCAAGTGGAATGAATTGGAAAGGATTGCTCAGAAAAGGGTTGGATAGAGAGTGTTGGTAAGAAGCTTACGCTCCTCCGCTTGGGGTAACAAGCGTTAGTAACTAAGTAAATATTTTCAATAAAACAGATTCGAAATTCTACAACTCACTTCTCGTCATCTGACAAGGAGTAAATGTGACTGGATGTAATGATTAGGTTATACAATATCACATGTTTGAATAAGTGAGAGTTAAAATGACATATGTGTGATGTTTGCATGAAACCGTAATTCCGTTGTATATTACCTTGTTCATTACCACAAATCTAGTATGCTACAAACACATTCATCCACGATCTTCTCCTTTCATCATGATCTATTTACTCAAATAGAGTACACTCGCAATAGATCAGGTGATTTTAATGTCACATTATTACACACAACGTCATTAATTACCAGAATGCGTCATCTCCTGAAACGACAATCATTAAAGTGTGAGGATCAATACATTCTTACGTTTGGTGAACAATTCGAGTGACATGCAAACAACAAACTGATATCAATAGATTTTTTGATGCATTTATTGAATGGATGTCACAATATGGAATTCAGACGATGTGTGTTGTAGACTAACTGGTATTCACTGTCAAGTGACATCGACAGTGACTTTGGTTACAGTGAACATGTGAGACAATCATCAACTGACTTGTGAGTGTGGAGATGACAATTCATCCACAGTTGTCTACAATCTTACTGAGTGTCAGAAGTGATTCACGACAACTGTGAACGTATTGTGTGGTACTGAAAGACTATTTACTTCGATCATATTAGTGTGTTTCTAGACTGAGTAAAATTCATTTTCAAATTCTATTTGCTTCACTGTTTTGAGTGTATCATCACTAACTAACAATCATTGTGGCATTGTTGCATAGACAATTATGGTGTCATTCTTCGTTCTTGCAAATCAGAAAACACATTTTTTGAAGAGTAAGTTATATTCAGAGAGAAAAATGACTCCGGTAGAAGTAGTGGTAGTAGTGTGCCTATTTGTGATCGTAGAAGTAGTGCGAGTACTAGTGGAAGGCGTAATAATAATAATATCATATTATTTGAATTGATGAAACACAACAGTCACATCCGAATTCATTTATACACTAGTCGATAAACCATGAACTTAAATCATATTTGTGATCTCAGATGGTTCAGTTCATATGATCCAAATAACATACCACTACTGATACAACTATTCATTCAACATAGACACCTGACAATATCCAAGTAACACAATGTACGTTCAATAGAAACCGTGTGTAGTTTCGTGTTTGTCCATCCACCCCACTTATTGATTGTAATCATTGACATATCAAATGCTAAAACATCTTGAAATAAATGCAGACTGATCATGTATATATGTATCCTTATATGAATAGATTGCCAACTATGGTTTACACGAAATACTTGCACAAAATCGGTTCATTTAAAATAAAAATTGATGGTTTTACATTTCGAAGAGTTTTCCATCATTCACTGATGAATAACAATTAAAATCTCTCAAATTTGAACGTGTAATGTTTTGTAACTAAATGACGTGTGGAAATTTTCGGTTTATTACATAACGTGCTTTAAAGAGATGGAATCAGATTTATTTATAATAAATATTCTTAATTAAGGATTGTTTGTTTCAGTAAATCTTTTTCGAAACCTTTTTGTCAAGATTGTTGAGCCCGTTATTTATGAATAGAAGAGCTGTTTAACACTAATGCCTAGAAACATGTTATTTTTCAGCTCATAGAATGTGTAGTGATTCTCGATTATCAATATAAAACCCGTATATGTGTGTGGTTTGTTACAAAATATCGATGAAATCAGTTCGAATGATGAAGCGTAATCTGTTGGAAATTGTCTAGCATGTTTGAATAATTTGTCCAGGACTGGGTGGGATGAAGTGTGCTGGTGGGCAGCCTATGCTCCTCCACGAGGAGTAATAGGAGTAAGCAAGTAAGTTTAGATAATTAATAAAAGTTCGTAGATTTCCATTGTTGGAGTTTAGAACAAGGTTAATTGATTTTCTGCCTACAAATCTATATCCTACATGGATTGCTTCAATAAAGCTGTCAGTTATACGTTTGTTGATTATTATTTAGATTGTGATAAGATTTGACATTCAGGAAATAAATTTCATCACACAAATATTGGTCTTCAATTAGTTGTAGGATAATGTGCACTTGTCACATTGACTTTCAAATAGATTTCAGATATTCTAAATCATTATTTATTGATCACATTGTGCAAACGTAAGTTATGTAACTATTTCCTGACGCTGATGATGATGATGGTGTGATTGGATTAATTGCAATTTATTTGTGGCTAGTTGATATAACTGGGTGTGTGTTGTTTGTTTTCATTTGCTTCTTCACAATAATAATAATAATAATAATAATAATAATAATAATTTTGCATTCTGGTTAAGTGCATTTATCATGTGATCAAATGCACATATGATGATGGTTATATGGATAAGGGGAAGTCGTGTATTGTATTTGATGTTGAACGACCGTCACATTGAAATATCTTATTTGAAATAATAATAAAGTCAATTCATTGATCTACGACAATACTGTTTGTTGAAATGGTGGTGACAATTTTCAGTGTTGAATTATGGATGGCACATTGGTTAAATTGTATTTGTTCTTGTCTTATTTGTTTTGGCCGAAATCGTGTGGCCGTCCTTCATTACGTTGTGGACAACAAACAGCTTAGTGACAACAAACAGCTTGATCTACCTGTCATGAGATGTGATGAATGACAGGTTCGTGACACTGATCTATTCATGCTAGTTGATGTGAGTGTTTGCTCTAGCAACTCGACATGATTGGTTTCATCGGCACTAAAACTGTGGAACGGAAGCTTCAAATTGTACAGGAATTTAGTTTATGTAGGCACTTGATGTCGAATGGACGAGTGGAACGATTTCCTCTCAATCATATTTATGTGTGTGTGTGTGTCAGGAAATGGACGAATTGAAGGAACGAAGAGCTCTAGAAACCGGTTGGTTGAGCGTGTGGAAGCGAGTTGAAAATCAATGTTTCCTCGTGTAGTATGTTGGAGATACGTTATGCCGCTGTGACTCTGAAGATGAATCAGTATGAAATCTCCTCACATCGTCTAGTCACTCGCATACGAGTGATCTACGTTTCACCAGACCGTGTGAAACTGAAAATCGATAACGAGACTGTGTATTTTGTATGACCATTGGATTTGTTGATGGTTGCGAAATCAGTGTGAGCTGTGTACAGTTTAAAAGTGGTAGGAAGTCATCAATCGTCAGTCGACAATCAATCAAGCAAGCAAACAGGCAAACAAACAAACAAAGAAGCGAACAATCAGGCGGACAAGTAAACAAACAACCAAACCAATCGGACAATCCACATGGATTTCCCGAATTGTTTATCGGAATCGACAATGAAAATGTCTTTGACGGAATCTCACGTGAAAATCTAACTAAACCGAATCACAGAGAATGTGTTTGGTTTAAGGCGATATATGGTCACGTATATTTGTGTTGTACAGATATACGGAATTCCTATCAAGTAATTTACTTCTTAAATTTTACAGTGTTAACTATGATGTTACGAATATTTTTTTATTGTCCTCACTCCATCATTTTTACTCTACACGTCTCTCTAATCCGGTTTTCGTTTCTAACCTAGTGGGTTGAAATAGTTTATTTGTTTGTGATTGATGCAACTATGCGGTGATCGTTGCAACCACATCGAGAGCTGATTTGAGACTACTTGTGAATATCTGGTTTGTGGAATACTCTAAGAAGCTGTATTTCGAATGTGTTTGATGTTGACTGAGAGAAGTGTGGAAGTGGCATCAATTGATCGAAGCCTTGTGATACACATTCAATAGATTGTGAGTAGTGAGTTGTCAAACCACTGAATGAATTGTCAATATTTCTTCTCCATTTCTCAACCACGTGTCATTCTCATTTGGTTCTTTTCTATGTTAACGTTTTGCAATTGACCTTTAATCAGGCAAAATATGATTGCACTCACACTTTGTGACACAATCATTTAATTGTGTTTCAGTTCAAAAATATGATGCACCCGTTGCGTCATAATCACTGAATATGAAATCCATTTGTCACGTGTATGCAAGCATAGTGTGTTTGGAATTGTTGATTCTAATGTAAGCTGATCAACCAGGGGCTACGTGTGTTACAAGAGATATGAAAAAATATGCTGTCATGTGATTGATATTTAATTCAATTGTATCAACCCAATGAACTGACAGTGAAAATTAGAACCAATTATGTTCAAGGTTATTGTGTTGCTCGAATTGTATATAAGCATGAAAACCTGATTTGAGAGACATTCGAATCACTGTCAGCTTGGTAATCACTGATCATGGTATTGTTGCCCAATAAACCTGCTCCAGAATTCAAAGGAAATGCTGTGGTTAATGGTGAATTCAAAGAGATCAGTTTGAAGGATTATCGAGGAAAATATGTTGTATTATTCTTCTATCCAGCTGATTTGTAAGTAGTAATTGTGCATATTTGTTGTGTAGTTATTGCATAGTGTCTGACTGCATATATTGATTCACCCACTCTATTCTAACCGATTACGTCTTCTGATTGGCCGAACTTGTTCTACTGGTTGAATGAATGTGTATTTGTTGTAACCGTCTGTCCTAATTATGCGTTGGATGTGTGTATGAAATTTGAGACTTATAGGAGTTGTTAGATAGTGTAAGGTAATTTCTTGTAGAGGTCAGACGATATGTTGATGCTCTGGTTTCTGACGACATTTTCGAGTGTGATAAACGCGAATTCTTATTGGAGTTTATTTGTTTTGATTCGACTTTGCAATGTATGCGGATATCTGGAATGAATGATTAAGTCGTGTTCACCGAATTCTAATATCTGTTCTTATATGGTTCCATCTATGTGGGTTCACTCATCGGGAATACTTGAACCGTGTTGTGACCAATCATTCATTCGGCTCCACTTATCTGAGTGGTAATAGTGAACACCGCGTGACGAGTCCATTTATACTGATTCTCATTGTGGATTGAGATGAAATGTCTAGGAAATTGTTCACGAAGCACACTGGTAATCTCCATTTTGACTCCAGTTTATTCATGCCAACGAGATCCTGACAGTCGATGTTGATCACATCACTGTATTGAATGCCTAAGTAATTGCCTCCTTCAGACGTCCTAGAAAATGCGTGTAACCTTATTTCACAGAATGCAGTATTATGCTGCAACGAATAGTTAGATAGCAGTGTGAAATTCGGCTCACCGATGATGCACAGATTTATCGTTCGCTTGATAATTATGATGAGGATTAATTCAATATGGCTGAACTGACACTTGTGTGGCTAACTATCGGAGTGACTATCTGACTGACTGGTTGGCTGACATGCTTTCTTGATACATATCGAATTACATAGTCAAGTTGCTCACTGCTCGACTAATATGCCTAATGTGAATGCGTGGAATTGCATGTAGTTTCATCATCCCAGTGACTCTCCTCCTCATAATTCTTTCACAGCACGTTCGTGTGTCCCACTGAAATCATCGCGTTCAGTGACCAGGTGGAGGAGTTCAACAGTCGAAATTGTCAAGTGATCGCCTGTTCTACAGATTCTCAATACAGCCATCTTGCATGGAACAATTTGGATCGTAAATCGGGTGGATTGGGTCAGATGAAAATTCCTCTGTTGGCCGACCGCACACAGGAGATCTCCAGAGCATATGGTGTATTAGATGAGGAGGATGGTAATGCATTCAGGTGAGTAGTGTGTTTGTATTCGTGTGATTTGCTGTAATTTCGATAATCTGTGTTGAGAATCAGACTGATAGACGTGTGGAACGAATCGTGTTTAGTTTCCAGTTTGGAGTAGGAGATTGAAATAATTGTGCGAGGATGCAAGAATCTTCTTGAAACAATGTTTCAGTTTTGTATTGTACTGGTTTCTCAGCGTCTTGACCTGTGTGTAGTCAACGATATATTAAGTTCTCTGACACCTTCCACTGTTCTACTTTTGACTGCGTTCTGACATAAAGTTCACCGGTTGACAGTTAAATGTTTGCTGAACCAAATTCTCATTCGATCCGTATTCTTGAATAGAAAATCAATCAATGTGTTATTAGATTGGACACAGCACAAATTGTATTTGGGGCATCACAGAAGCTGTGGTTCTCCATGAAATTTCTGACCAGTAGAACCCAGTGCTCATAAAGACAACCGAATCTCAACACTTGACTGAACTACCTATTGCATTGAGAGTACTGGTAATCGACTTGCACATAGACACGAGTTTATCTGTACTTCTACTTATCATCTCCCTCACTATGCCTTCCTTTTTAGAGGTTTATTCATCATTGATCCGAAGGGAATTCTACGTCAAATCACGATCAATGACAAGCCAGTTGGACGATCTGTGGATGAAACATTACGACTACTGGACGCGTTCCAATTTGTGGAGAAGCATGGTGAAGTGTGTCCAGTGAACTGGAAACGTGGTGATCATGGGATCAAAGTTAATAAAAAATAGACTTTGCATCATTTTTCATTGATCACTATATTCATGTCGCGTGACTAGATATCTGTGTGCTGTTCCACACATGAATTTGTAAAGTTTTAAATAAATTTTCATATAAATAACACCTTCCATTCATTCTGATATATTCTTATGTTCATTTGAGTGTTCACTGTGAACTACAGTGTACTTCATTTTAATAATGTGTGTGTGTGTCGGACCGGTCGAAGAGATTGCGAATACTATGATGTGGTTGTATTGTCAGAATGACACGATTGTGTGTGATTTCACTTTGTCAAGTTAATTAATGCAATGATGTAGGTCGCTCGTTTGATGCGAATTCAGGTGACGAGTTTTCGTGTTCCACGTATGAGGAGGAGGCGGATTGTGTGGTGTAAACATCAACTGACTGCACTAACACAGGACTATGTGAAACGGTGTTGGAACTGACGGTCTAATTTGTTGATATTGAAATTGTGATAGAACATGTTATTGTTTTATTATCCGTGAATATCGTTGTGTTGACGTCTGTAGTGGTGAATGAAACCGTTGTAAAGCTTTATTAGAAATAAATGACACTGAAGATGTCGATGAACAGGAGATGCGTTTGAAGTCACCAATTCGAATTTCTGTATGATTACGCATCATACCTTCAATGTAAGTTCAATTAGCATTAACTTGTTGTTGTTCGAATGAAGTAGGTGGAAATGTGTTTCGATCTACAACGCTTCGCTTCCAATCCTTCAAGTCAGTCGCCTCACTTTGCGTGCAACTGAATAGAATAGGACAATGTGTAACTGCTGAACAGTGTATATTACTGACTACATGAGCGATCTGCTTCGGTTGGGCACATGGGCAATATCACAGCCCTCACACAAATCTCATTTGATTTGTGTGGCGCATATGTATCTGGTGCCCCATTGTACCAGTGTTTATGTGTTCAAATAAATAAATAAAATGTGAGCGATTATTTCGACGTGCATTAACAAAAATTTGACTGACAAAAATAGTAAGAATATTATTAGAAACCCAAGCATTATTCACTGTTATTGTAAGTCAGGTTGTTGGTCACAATAGTTAGACGAGCATATGTTATTGACAGTGATGTAAATCAAACGTCATATTATGTGATGATTTTGTAATGTTTTGCATTCCAGTTAAAACAAACTACGTATATTGATCACGACGGAATGACGTCATGTGATTGTAGTGTTGCTTTTGTTGTTTCATTAGAACAACATTGTTAACCATTGTCAGTTGATCGTTGTTAGGTGACTGGTTGAGTCTTCGAATTTCCATTGATTTCCTGAAACTATCAATATTGGTGTTGAGAAATATACGAAAACTTAGGCGTAACATAGTCAGTGGTTTATTGCATTTCAATTCACAACAAGTGAGACTGATGGTTACATGTCCAATCTATTTGTCGGTGAGTGATCGACAAAATTTAAAATCATCACTCATCAACTTTCTGATGTTGAATTTTAATCATTTCTAATTTGTGTCAATTATTTCCTATATGAGAGTGTGTTTTACTGTGAGATGAGATTTAATGTTGTTAACGAGTTATTTTGCATCTTGATGTCTGTTTCGCTGGGAGCATTGAGTCAACAGTTGAGTTTCTGTGAATAGCTGTCACTTGATCACACTCATCACACCAACCTAGTCAGTTGATCAAGCAATCTGCAGAAACACACTTTCACTTGGTTGCAAGAGACCACTTCTGGATGACCTGTTTAACTTTACATGCAAGTCATTATTTCGCAGTATGATTTTGCTGGTTTCTCAGTCGGAGTTGTATTGATGATATTCACTTATGTAAGATTCTATGGACACGCATTCAGTGCCTTCATTTTTCTAATACCCTGTATTAAATATTATGGTAACCAAATGAATTCAAAGAAAGTCACAAACTCGATTTCACTCGTCCCGTAATGACAGATTGAAATGAGGGAGCGATAGAGAATATGCAACTCGATACAGAACAAACAGTAACATTATCTCATTATTGTGGCCATCGTAAACTAGTGATTCACCAAACGACGAATTGTGATGTGCATCGTATGGTGTGCGAACTACTGTGTGTTGTCAGACAGATTTCACCTTGTGACGAATGGAAAACAAGTCACCATTAGTGCAGACTATCACCGTATCAAAGAATGAAGTTGCATTTGACCATCGATTGAACAGTGATTTGACGATCCAACATTGACTACTAGGTTGTGTCGATCAGCCTTTGAACATTGTAGATCACCAACGTAGATGATCTATCTCGAATGATTTGAGGTCCGCTCGAGTTCGATGGAAATTGCTTGACGAACCAGCTAACTTGGAAATCACACCTCGCGGAGAGCATCAAACGTGGATTACCCCCACGATGTATCAAATTACTATGGCTGTTTTGAAGACCTTATAACACAAAGGACGTTATTATGAATATGTATGAGTAAGAATGTGTACAGATAAGAAAGCGAGATCGCCGCTGCATGAGCCAGCTCATGGTATACGATTAACTGATGCGCGTTGGTTTTCCTTGTGCTGGACAGGATCGATGATCTGTTCGATATTCAGTGATGCAACAGCCGGATGATTTGTCTAGGGCTCAGTGACATTTTACTTTCCACTCTCAATATCACCACTCAATTTCGTACACTTTTTCAAATCTTCTCTTACGTATCAGCAACTTAATCGTTTACTGGATATTCTCCAAATCCAATCGTGACTGAAATAACACACACATTGATTTGCTAAATCGAGCCATTCATCAGTATCGGAAGGATGTGTTTACTTTGCTAATTGTACTCAAGCCTAATCTGATGTACATGGTCATCTGTTGCCTGTAGATGTTTCACAGTTATCTCTTAATAATTGTTTCCAGCTGTCGTTACAACACATCACAACCGTACCACAAAAGATGTATTTTATGTGTAATAATTTCAGTGACAAAATCTCAGGACTTGCAACATTTTATCCTGGAATCTACTCCTTCCTCGCCTACGCTTTCGGTCTCTGGATTACTTAGTTCTGACCTCGACTAGAAGCGTTCTTATTAGCAGTGTTTTGGAGACTTTTGTGTATCAATTAAGATGTATTGACACTCTTATATGCTCAATAGTGACTAGCTTCGAGAGTTCTAGTGAGAAGCAATGACCAGTCGAGTTCAGCTGTGTCGGGTGTGGACGGTGGTCACAAAATATCGTGGATTGTTTGAAGTTAGACAATAACACAGTTGAATGCTAGCTCCGTGATCCAGATGTTAAGCGTTCGCACGCCTAACCGAAGGTCCTGAGTTCGGATCCCGTGTGCGGGATTGTGAATGCGCGCTTCTGAAGTGTTATACTAGGCCGAATCGACCGTCCAATGCTTTCATGTTTTCAATGGTTGTTAAATCTTGATCGGTTCATGATCATAATTAAAATCGTCCTTGTTAATTCACATATATTGTAGTGCATAGCACGCCACATTCGGTTAAACTTATTTCAATTTGAGAAATAGGGAACGTCAACATAGGTTAATCTACAATTGATTTTATCATTATCGGGTCAACTCAAATGGCCACGTGTTAGCAATCAGACGTGTTTATGAATTAGACCATTGTGTTTTTCGTATTTATATGAATGTGTACACCATTAGCAAATTATTGATCGGCTGAGTTTGATGTCAATAAGAGGATAGATGAGAGGTTGATAACAGACCAGCAGACCATCACACGCTATGTCTGTTGACATAAATAATATACACCACAACATTGTCCTACTGAAGTGATTTATTCATAAGTTTAAACACATGTGATAACTGTTATTAGTTCAAATGATGTTCTAAAATTATTCATGTCAATAGTTAAACGAAAAATAATTTTCTCCTTTTGAACTAAAATATTTATTAGCATTCATTTAATGCAGGCTGTAGCATTTTGATTCATTTCATACATAAAATGATTTGTTTTCTTAATATACACAGACCGTAGTCAATATTAAGTTGAATGAAACATATCACTTGCGTATAAACACATTCTGTTATCTTAACACGTTTTGATCCCATAACACATACAAAACAATTGTCATAACCTTGAATTTACCTTATAATCCTTAAGTCATTCTATGGCCTAGGATAAAATGACAATTTCTTATTCTTTCTCTCCCCTTGATTATTTTCAAATGAACTTTTATTTTATTTGTTTGACCTTTATTATTTTTCATATAAACATGTCTCTTACACATTAATACAAATACCTATTTATAAAGAAATCCTTCACGTCGATTGGATGACTTATTCAGTATACAGTAAACCGAAGAACCATGTACCTATTTATATTCGATAATTTTGTTGTTTGATTATATTTTCCTTGAAAAAGCTTGGACCAGATTGCCAGGCGAAACGTTGGATTTACTTAAAATTCATTCGCTGAGATTTTACAAATATATTCTTCTTTTTAATGTCTCAAATTAACTCGGCGCCCAAATATTGTGAAACTATTCGTTCAAATTTAGACGAAAGTTCTTATTTATTATTTTGCAATCGCATAAAATTATCGAAGAAAATGTACAATTGGTATAACCATCGAATTTTCAATCTACGCTGTTTAAACCAGGATATTTATCCAAAAACACTAAGAGTTAAGACTCCAGACAATTCTATTCGTTCACAAAAAGCAGCTATTACAGCTACTAGAGTATTCCTTAGAGAACGTAAAGAAAATATTCTTGAGTCTCAATACCTAATTGCTGAGAAGATCGACATACAACACAGAAGACTTTGAGGAGGGTGGTAATGGTGAACGTGGTAACAAATAAATTGGAGTGGCATATCTCGGTCATGCAGGCGTGGTCACACAACTCTTTGTCCACTGTATCAGATAGATTGCCCTCTTCCCAGCTCAAATGTGTTCTTCAGAAATGCTAGACCTTATATTGCTGATTATCACGACAGATCGAGCCAGTGTAGACAGCGGTGTGAATTCTACTTCCTCAATTTCGGGACTAGGTCTACCATTATGGTAGTACGAATACCAAAGT